GACCAGCAATCAGAAGCAACCCAAAATACACTTAGAAATGATTACAAAGTACAGGATGAATATGTCAAGTTCTACCCTAGAGGTAAAAATTTGAGTCAGAGACCATGGATTCTGTCCAAAATACTCCTAAACTCTCGAACTTCATCACAAATCGTAAACTCAATGGTCATTACTTTCTTCAATGGCCACAATATGTGTTTATGTATATTTGCGGACAAAGGAAAGAGAACCATCTCACTAGAGAGGGCATGGTTGATGAGATCACTGACCCCAACTACGGTATATGAAAGACTTGAGACCATAGAGTTATGCTTTAACTAGTCAACTCAATGACACCTGAAGTGAGAGAATTTTTTGTTCTATAAAACTGCCAAAGAAATATGGGTGTCTGCAAGAGAAATTTATTCGAGTACTGAGAACACTGCATAGTTGTTTGAGAATGAAACCAAACTTCATGACCACCGGCAAAGAGAGCTAAGCGTCATCCAATACTTCAAGACTTACAAAATATTGGCTATAATTGGATATATTTGAGAAGCATGTGTGAATATATTCACAAGTTGCCGTGACATTTAAATCCATCGTCGAGAAAAAGAGGATTATCAAATTCCTAATAGGACTAACTAAGGGATTGAATGAGGTAAGAGAGAAGATCATGGGAACAAAGCATCTTCCATCTCCCCGCGAAGCCTTTGCTGAAGTCAAGAGAGAACATAGCAGGAAGAACTGATGGTAGCGGAAAATGTGGGTTCACCAAATATTGAAAGTTCAGTTTTGTACCCCCATAATTCTTCCCATGACTAAAAGGTCAAGAAGTACCATCCTGCTTGTGATTATTGCAAAAAGATTCGGACTATCTGAGACAATAGTTGAAAACTCCATGGTAGGTCTCATGAATAAAAGCTTGGACCGGGAAGAAAGGATCAAAAGAACAAATGATGCTACAACATCCGATGGTTCAACAAAATCATTCACCAAGGGACAGCTTAAAGTATTGAAGAAACTTCTTGGAAGTAATTCAGAGCAGCATACCAACCTCGTGACACACCAAAGTAATATATCATTCTCTCATCTTGCCATTAACGAGAGATTCAAAACTTGGATTATATATTCATGAGCCTCTGATCAGGCTCATATGACTACAGACATCAATACTCTAGTCAACCATCAAGAAGCTCTTGCACCTAGATCGGTAACACCTGCAGACATATCAGACTCAAAAAATTGTTGGAAAAGGAGATGTGAAGCTCTCTCAGAATATTACACTTTCCTTTGTCTTATATATTTCATAAATAGACTACAATTTAATTTCAATCAGTAAGTCTACTCATGATATAAAATGTATAGCTAAATTCCTACAATATTTTGTGAATTACAGTTGGTAGAGTCAGGGAAGGTGATTGGCATTGTTGAAATGCATCAAGGTTTATAGTTGCTCAAGGAAAATCTCTTTCTAAACACACAACTGATCACATCTTCATATGTCAATCAAATTTTTAAATTTATTGAGTCTATCCGTGTCAAAAAAACAGGTATATTATGATATTACCGTTTACGTTGCTAAGTTGTATCCAAATTTGTTTATAAGAAAAAACTTAATTTTTATCAATGTGAGACTTGTCGACTAGCCAAATACACAAGAAATATTTTTTCATAATACCGTATAAACCCTCACATCCTTTTTCCATTATATACAATGATATTTAGAGGCCTTCAAAAGTGATAATCCTAAGTGGGGCTAGATAGTTTGTCTCATTTATTAACGATCATACTAGAAATACTTCGGTATTCTTAATGGAGGAAAAATTTAAAACATCCTAAATCTTTTAAACTTTCTATGTATTGATTCAAACTCAATTCTAATATAAATTTAAGATCCTCAAAATTGATAATACAAATGAAAATTTTAACTCTATCCTTGGGTCTCATCTTTTGAAAAATAGAATCATCCAAATGAGTTTATGTATTGATAACCCACAATAAAATAAGATAGCAGAGTGAAAGAGCATGCATTTACTTGAAGTATGTCGCTCAATTAGGATTAATCATCGAGTTCCAAAACATTTTAGGGGGGAGCAATTATTATTGTAGTATATATTATCAATCAAATACCAAGACAGGTACTTAATTTCAAACATGACTTAATATTTCGATCGTTACCTATCTACACATCAGAACTTTCGCTACTACTACACCACTTAAAATTTTTGGGTGTATCATCTGTTCACATTCATTCCCCAACCCGAACGAAACTTGACCCTAAGTCTACCAATTGTATTTTCATTGGTTATGCCTCAAACAAAAAGTGGTATAACTATTATTATATTGTTACCAGAAAATACAACTTCGTGGTCACATTTTTTTAGAATCAATCCTACTATCACAAATCTAGTGTTCAGGGGGAGTGTGCAAATGACCATCAATTTTGGGATGCACTTGATAACATCTATACAATAAACCCACCTATTATGCCTCATATTCTTCCACCCAACTCTCCCACTCTTGTTGGGGATATCCAACCAACCCAACCCTAAGTCCACAACAAATAACTTCGTATGTACATTAGAAGGAAGAAAAACTTTGAGCATGTGGGTGACAACTTGTAAAGATAGAACTGCTTCAATCAAAAACTAAATCCCAATTTACCTGAATTTTGGGCGAGGAGTCCAGTACTCATTAGTTAGCCTCAAAGACAAGGAAAACGGTACCAGATACCCAATTCAAGAGTATATAGCTTATGAAAAGTTATCCTTAACCTATAGACTGTTTATATTACCTTGATAATGCGCAAATTCATAAATCCAATCCTAAAGATCTTGAAAATCTAGAATGGAGGAAAGCAGTGGAAGATATCTAAGCACCAAAGCGTAAGGCACATGAGCTTTTACTAAACTTCCTCGGGATAAAAAACTAGTTTGATGCAAATGGGTGTTCAATATAAAATAAAAAGTTATGGGTTAAGAGATTTTGCTAAGGGTTTCATACAAGCCTATGGGATTGACTATCAGGAGATCGTCACACCAGATGTCAAACTGAATAATATCAGAGTTCTTTCAGTGGCAATTAACAAGAATGGGAATTGCATAAACTTGACATAAAAAATATCATACTAAATGAGGATCTGGAAAAAAAAGTATACATGGAGATACCACCAGGGCTTGAAAATGATTCCAGCAAATACCTGGTATGTAAACTCGAGAAGTCTCTTTATAGTCTTAAGAAATTACCAAGTGCGGGTTTGAAAGGTTTGCTAAAATTATAAAATTCAATGGATATTCTCAAAGTCAAATTGGTCACACATTGTTCATAAAATACACTCATAGAGATAAGATCGTTGCACTGATCGTATATGTGGATGACATGATTCCTATGGGTGATGATAGAAGAGAAATTCTTAAAATCAAAAAAAGTGTTTGCCTCTGAATTTGAAATCAATGACCTAGAACAATAGAGGTAGCAAGGTCCAAGAAAGGGATCGTTATATCACAAAGAAATACAACCTAGATCTGCTAAATGCCTTCGAAAGAATCCAACAATAAATCTAATAAAGAAGAAGAAAGCATATACGTGGATAAGGGAAAATACCAAAAATTGATAGGAAAATTTATTTATTTGTCACATATTAGGCGAGATATAGCATTCTCTGACAGTATTGTGAGTCAACGCATGAATAGCCCAAATGAAGAGCATTAGGAGATGATATATGGAATTTTCAGGTTTCTCAAGAAGACTCCTGGATATGGATTAACTTTTGAGAAAACCAGAAACAGGGAAATGGAAGTCTCCACTGATGCTATTTGGATTGGAGAACTCACTGACTGAAGACCCATGACAGGTTATTGCTTATATGCACAGTAAAATCTGGTTACATGGAGAAGTAAGAAACAAATTGTTATGAAAAGTGGTGCAGAATCATAACATAGGCCTTGAGAATTTTTTAAGAGATTTGGATTCATAAATTGTTAAGGAAACTGAGATCTTTTCCAATAAACTTATACAGATGTTCTATGATAGCCATACAACGATCAATATTGTCAAAAATCCTACGCATCATGACGAGACCAAGCCTATTAAAGTTGATGGACACTTTATCTCTGAAAAGGTCAATGGAAGCGTTATACAACTAAGCTACATCCTGATATACCAACAAGTTCTTGATAAGCTCTTCCTTTCAACACCTTCTCAAAATTCAATACCAAGCTTGGTCTTTATAATATATATGACCCATCTTAAGGAGAAGTGTGAAAATCTGAGAAGATTTGGTCATTTCTATATTTACCTCTCTCAAGTGGGCCGGCCAGGATATCTTAAGAGACGTTTAATTGGTTTATTACCTTCCTAGTTTATGTCTTTACTATATTTTATTTAAAATAATTTACTTCCTAATTTATGTGAGATATGTTTGATAAGTTTATAAATAAGGAGAGATTGATATATATATACCGTATTTATACCACCCAATTTCAATATATTTACCTAACACCTAAACTTTGTTTTTTACATTTATGCGTCACAACAAAAATACCACCATTTTAACTATTAAAATGTGAAATTCAACTTTCATGCATATGTGAGGTGGTATGTATGATATAAAAATTGAAGTTTAAGTGTTAGATGTGTAAATACATAAGCTATAAGTAGTACGTATGCAAATCATCCTTTTTTTATATTTGCATGTTTTCTTGCTGCCTTAGACCACATGGTATGTTCAACAGAGTCAAGTGAAATGTTCGATACTTTCCAATGGCGGCTGATATAACTAAATGCAACTGACTGAATTAAATAAAACAACTCACTGCAAGCCCACTCACTTAAAAAAAGAGCACAATAGTATGTGTTTCCATCAACACCGCAGATTTTGAGCACAGCTTTAATCAAGCATGAAGTAAGACATAAGTTGTCCCACCACTTTTAAAGTATTTTATTATAAATTTGCCCAATTCTATTAAAAAGAGTAGGTTCCACATTAAAATAGAGAGCAGTGAAGCAAAAAAATTTACCACAACGTCACCTTCTTCTGCCATGGCTATTGCAGCACGCACAGCTACCCTTCTCAAGCCCAGCACAAAAATTTTATTACCATTTGGAAGACAAAAACAACATTGATACCGAGTGCGATGTACATAGTCTTGCACAGTCCATCCAAAGCCCGAAAGCATATCATCATAGATGTTGGCTTCAAAATATTAAAAAAAAAGGACATTACTAGGTAAGTATTAAGCTGGAACCTTGAATTGTCATCTTATCAATAAGAAAACAAGAACACAAAAAAAAGTGAAATTTAGAGAAAATAACTTACATGGATTTTCAGTCTTCGGATTGTCAGATGTCAATACAACCACTTCACTTCTATCAGTAGCAATTTTTGTCATCATTGATCTTTTTCCTCTATCGCTTTCGCCAGCACACCCGAAGACTGCAACAGCAAGGTATAATAAGTCACAGTATTTCATTATACGGAACTTTAAATACCTAGCACATATTTTTAATGCACTTACATATCTCACATCTGAACTTTCATATTTACATACATAAAAGAGGCAGGAAAGGATCATTTTGCCATATGGACTCTACAGATAAGAGTCTTGCCCCCCTCTTGAGAGGGCAACTAGATCCTAAGCAAGAGGAAGGACAGAGCTTAAAAAAGAGGGAGTTGAAGGTCAGGATCCTACATAGACGATCTAACGAACACCTCCTGCTCCTGCAACACCCCAACCATCATTGGCCAACGCTAGCAATCCTCCGCAGACGACCATAGGCATCCTGCTTCAGCAATCACCGACCACCGCTTTTCGGCCAACGCTGACCATCATCGATCGATGCCCGCTCCTTGCTACACAGCACCACTTGAAGCAAGAACCAACATCACAGAATCACGAAGCAACCTATGAAGAAAAGTATCATCCCGCACATCACGTCAACCCTCAAGACAGTGCACTGAAGCTCTAGCAGTTACTCACCGTTATGATCACTCCCTACCGTGGGACAACAAGTCCAACCACTGATTGATGTTGTAACTCAAGAAACTATGTAACTATTTCCCGTTTATAGGACAAGAGATTGTATATATAATCATCAACTCATGGTAGAATATTTCAACTGAGTAAGGCACCATATTTTTTCTCTTTGTGTATTTTTCACATAAAAACTTCTAGTGTCTCTATCGGTTATCTTCTTTCATTTGAGTGTGTATTGGATTCTCGTACAATATTATGACAATAATTCATTACTCTACCAAAGTGAATCTTCTAGCACCCATCAATGAGTATACAATTGTATTTAATTAATTCGTGCTAAAATGTAAGTTGGTGGAACCATATGAGCACACAGTAACAAAATATCGTGGATGATTGTTGTCGTCTATCAGTAACATGGTGCAGGTGCAATCCTATTGATCCCTACTTGATGTACAAATCCTAGCTTTGAAATTGAAGAAATAGCAATGTTGTTGGGTAAATGCCACATCTTACAGGCAGTGTTTAACCCCAGAATCAAACAACAAGAGTACACCTAGTGAAGAAACCCAAGTCGACCCCGCCTAAGAAGAAAACAATCCAAAGTAGAGGAAATGTGGAGCATGCCAGCACTCTCAAATTTGTCTCAACCAGGGAGTGCTTCAAGTGCCACAATTTTGGGCACATTAAACCTAATTACCCACATAGAAGGGTGATCACTTTCACTGAACAAAGAACAATTGAAGAAATGAATAGTGGCACGGAAGATAATTAAAAAGCCGGAGAGTATCAGCTTCTAGCCAACAAGAGAGAGATGCTAACGATAAAAGCTGAGTGAAAATTTTTGTGACATTAATGATTGATTATAAGAAATACATAGCTTTAAACTGAATGTGAATCTGCGACATAAAATAGCTTTCATTGTAAGAAAGATTATTAGAAAAGAGGCTTATAGGAATAGAATTCTTAAAGTTTTAAATGCTTGAAAGTAAGATATTAAAAAACATATGGCACCTATGGTAAGCAAATTTTTAAGTTTAATGTTTTGATTTTCCTTATCTACTTCCTTTACCATCAAGTGGTGAACCAAATTTTCTCATAAGAAATTGGTAGCTAAGAAAGTGACTGCTATTGTTGACAGTCAATAAATAAGTATTAGCAATAATATTGGTTTTATATTTTTATGAAATATTATTGAGATTAAATGCAATAGTGATTGGATAAATGGAATTCCGAAATATATAAACATAACCATCAACATGAAAGAGAGAAAAGGAAATGAACAACATACCAGTGATGATTCTCCTGGCACCTAGTTCTCTTACAGTGTCCAAGAGTCTTGACAAAGCATCAGGAGAATGAGCGAAGTCTACAATCACTCTGAAAGGTTGATTCTCATGTATTAGCTCAAACCTACCAGAAATGCCATCTACTCCTTCAATTCCTTCCTTAATTTCCTCTGACTTAGCACCAATCCCTACACCAACAGCCACAGCTGCAAGAATGTTGTATATATTGTGCCGCCCAATCAACCTCGTTGAAATTTCGAGGACACCCCTAGGTGTTCTGAGTAAAATGTCTGTCTTTATTAATGAAAGCTCAAATTTTAAAACGTAAACATCAGCACTCTTATTGTCCATCGCATATGTCACCAAAGGAACACTTTTTTTACCCTGTGAAACAAAAAAATTAGCATTTGGGTCATCAATGTTCACAATTTTGCAATGATGATTTGGATCAACCATCCAAGCAAACAACTTGGCTTTGCTATTCCTGTAATCCTCTTCTGATCCATGAAAATCATAATGATCCCTCGTTAAATTTGTGAAAACAGCAACATCAAAATCAATTGCATCACATCTCCCAAGGGCTAAGCCTTGAGAAGAAGCTTCCATTACTACTGCTTGAGTTTCCTTCTGCTCCATTCTTGCCAGAAGTTTTTGAACGGTTACAGCATCGGGAGTTGTGTTCGACACATCCAATTGACTCTCACCATGAACATGATATCCTACAGTTCCCAAAATGCCAGTCTTCACTCCCATTGCCTCGTAAATAGCTCTCACCAAATGTGCTGTGGTAGTTTTCCCATTTGTTCCCGTAATCCCAATTACAGACATTCTTTTCGACGGATTTCCATAGAAATTTGCCGCAAGGGTAGGAAGCAAAGAGTTTACATCCTCCATTATCACTAGAGCTTCACAATCCAAAATCCTATCCAAATCAATCTTCCTACAAGCTAATACTGCCACAGCACCTCTCTCAATAGCATCGTTAATAAAAAAATGACCATCAGTTTTATACCCAATACAGCAAACAAAAAGATCACCGGGGCTTACATTCCTGGAGTCATTCTCGATTCCAGTAATAATCACTCCAATATTACCGCACACACTAAGAGGTGTAGCCTTGGTTCGTTCCAAGAGCTCGCAGAGAGACATTCTGAAATCGGATGGTTTGGCAATCTGACCACCCGACCTCCCATCTTCCTCCTGAACAGATTTCGAGTCAAGGGTTCTCTCTTCCAAGCGTTTAAGGGCAATGGCTCGATGTAAGTCCCCCAATATGTCATTCTGGAGCTTTCCATGCGAGTGGAGAGAGACGGATTTCTCCAAGACGGTATCCTCCCGGAGCTCACCGGCTACAGAGAGTCTGGGAAGAGGCCGTCGGAACGAAGGAAATGGAGAGGATGGTATTTTGGAAAATGTTATGAAGGAGGATGCGGAGAGAACCATGGATCAGTTAGGGAGAGCTCGGAAAACTGAAAGTGGAGGCGAAAATTGGGAGACAGACGGTCGTTTGCGGTTCGCTGCGGCCGGCCTCTGCTTATAGAAGCAGGGCAAAGGAGTGAGAAGTCCATGAGGAAAACGATGGCGGGGAGAAGGTAGATGGTAATGATTAGCGTCCTCTGAGAATTTCAGAGACGAAGAGGAAGAGAGTTGGATCGAAGCAGATGATCGCGGAGGGTGACGAAGAGAACGAGCAAGTTGAGCGCGATCACATGCACGGTACAAGAAAAATGCTGCACGGACCGGAAGGGTAGCTCGAGGCACTTTTCTGGTACCGGTCCGACCCAGTTGACTCGGGTAGTCCAGACCGGATCTACATGGCATGCACTCAGTAAAACAAAAAATTAAGTTTTTATTACCGTATTTATTATGGAAGATTTACATACTCAATCCTTATGTGTTGAATCATCATTTATTCCTGGATCTCATCTTAATATAATTTAAGAAAGATTATATCTTATTTATAAAATGATCTTTCTATTTATAAGAGAAGAATACGATAAGATGATATTATATTTTTTGTCACTGCTTTGATAGAGGTTATATGGGAAATTCTAGATATTTACATAAACGAGTCTATTACTCGGTTACTCTTTGGTTAGGTCACTTGGGCTAATATGGCCTCAGCTCGATAAGGTCGGTCTGGTTGGTTGGTTGAGTCAGCGTTGTCATTCTACTAAGCTTGATTGGCATCGGGATGGCATGATTGATTCGGTCGGGTAGACTTTTCGATCAGCTAGTCTGGTCTGGTTGCCGGCCCTCGATTCTTGGTGAGGATATCGGGTAACGCTAAAATATCGAGTGGAGAGTGAATCATTGCGAGGAGAGTATGAGCGATGTCATTGAGACTATTTGTAATTTTTTTAATTATTGATCACTGATGAGGAGCCTCAGAGGCGTCCGTTGAATGTTTGGTGATGTTCAATAACTAGACATTTCATCAAGTACAATTAACTGAAGGTAAGTTGTTGATTTTGATCAACATTCTTACATTTGTTCGCTTGAATATCTCTGTCTCGTTTCTGATCTAACATCTCAGATTCAACCACCTTCATAACTTGGTTGACTTTGATCTTACTTGCTCTAACTCAAGTGGCTACATCCGATCGAATAAATGGACCACCTAGTCTTCTATCGGCGGCATCTCATTTGTCATACTCTTTTCATTCAAACAGTTAGATCTCCTTGAGATTAGCACTGACACACTTTCGATGTACACTATGTTTTCACATTTCTAACACCAAAAACATCACTTTTGAATGCACAACATCTTTTACTGTGAAAATGTGCATTTCATTTTCTAAAGGTTAAAATGGTGGTATGTTGAAGTGATGAAAAGTTTGAGTGGTATTTTATGGCATAAATCAACATTTTGTGGACTAAAACATGTCTCGTGGGCCTGGTAAGCCCAATTATTCAGTATACACCCGCCAACTTTATACGTCGATGCGCCAACTATCATGCATCATTTGTCGAGCTAACTTGCAAACCGCCCTGCCAAATTCTCTACCAAATTTATCAAGAAGGTTGGCCTGATATACCGACATAACAGGCTGATTATTCAAACTCTCTACCAAGCTCGCCTCGTTGGTGTTCTCAAAATTGACATAATGCAAACGTTGATACCAACATCAAAAATTATTACATGTCACATCCTCATTTGTGAGTCATCTGACATTCAAGCCACAATCTTTTTAAACCATATGCCATGGACATGGTTTGTCTCTCATGAAATGTATTTATTTATTTTATGGAACATGTGTAAGAAAGGCAGGCAAAGCGAGAGTTCAAAGGATTGACTATCTAGGCCTTTTTCGGTGGATCCAACGTTGTGACTATCACAGAAACTCTCTTGCCCTCTCTTCTTGTTAGATCTTCTCCACTTTACCGGAGGAGAATCTTAAAACAAAACACACAATTCATGTTCGAAAAACACATTCATCACCTTCTTTCGCTTTCATTACAAAGGCTCTCTCGAATAGTGTAGACTCATGAACAATACTAAACCTAATGTCTTGAAGAGCTTCAATGGCTATAAATATGAAAAAACAAAGTTGACGTGTTAGATATGTGAACACATAAGAATTGGGTGGTATGCCTTCAAACATAGCATATATATATATATATATATATA